AAGAGATGTGGGGACGTCACCGTTAGTGTCGGCAGAAAATAGCATCTGCTTAGTGCCCTCAATGGACTAGCACACCACACCAAGTCACCAATTGAGGCTGAGTCGACCTAGGGGAGGCCCAGGACCGGTTCAGATAATCGTCACCGGCTTTGGCGCGAGCGGGAATCGAACTCGGGTCGCCGTTCCCTCGGCACCAACATACACACACCATACACACACCATACACACACCATACACACACCATACACACACCATACACACACCATACACACACCATACACACACCATACACACACCATACACACACCATACACACACCATACACACACCATACACACACCATACACACACCATACACACACCATAATCGAGGTTTTTTTTGGGGTTGCATCGCGTGAATATATAAATGTGTCGTTAAACCCGCCACCACCCGCCACAGCCAATTAGTAAGGTTTGTCACGTAAACAGAACGTGCCAATTCGTTACTAGTTCAGCACACCGGTGTATTGGAGAGTAAACCCACGTTTTGTTTACGTGACAAACTTTACTAAATGGATGTGTCGGGTGGTGGCGGGTTTAACGACACATTTATATTTACACGATCTAACCCGAAAACAACCTCTTTCATGGACAATATTGGTCGCGATATCCTACTACTAACTACAACGACGACGTGTTAAACTAACACACACACGCGCGTGTTCCTGGTTTCGTATAATTTCGCAAAAACCGAACAAACAAAAACCACCGAATCCTCTGCTGCATTCCTCCCGAGCCTGGTGTCGAGAAGGGCTTTACGTTCGCACTTCGTAACGCACACAACGGAGCTTTCAGGATAGGTGAAAGCGAACCGACGATAGAAGTCACTGTTTCGTGTAACCTTTACATTCGCTCTAGAGCAGAGTTTCCCCCAGCTCCAGTCCTTGTCACCACCCCCACCGCCCCCACCATCACCACCCTACGTGTTTCCACATCTCCTAGCCACCGTGTGTGCCATGGTGGCGAGGAGATATTGACTACCTCGCCTGGTATACAAGGAGGTCGTGGTTTCGATCCCGACCCTGACGCCTCTATATTTGGAGTTTGCGTGTCTTTCTCTCTCTCCACGTGTCCGCGTGGGGTTTTTTTCCTCCGGGTCCTCCGGTTTCTTCCCCCTCCGCATTTAGAACGAACACGCGTTGAGAGTATGTGGCTGCTATACATTTCCACGTGATAAGCCACTTCTTTGGGCTATCATTTGTGGCCAAGTCGCTTCTGAAAAATACCTATAGAGCTCAATGGGCCTTAGCTGGTAAAATAAAACAAAGTTCAATTCAGTTTAACTGATTTATGACTCCCCATTCAAATACAAATTAACTCGTTCCACGCTGCACGCTAACACGTCCCACGTGACGCGCTGTGCAATTATTAACTCTTTCTGCACTATTCATATTCTTAGTTTTTTCGGTAAAGTCACGTTGAACGTGACTTTACCGAAAAAACTAAGAATATGAATTACTGCAGTCACGAAAGCTTTAAATCAAAATCTTTCTGCACTCTTTGGTTCTTTCGGTAAAGTCACGTAGGTATAAAAATAATACTGGTAGTAGAACACGTAGTGGACTGGAAGCCCAACCGGGATTAAATCTCACAGGAGGCAGGGGATTGTGTATGTCTGTGGATGTCTGTCCACGTGTATCCGGACATTCGGATATAGAAAATGGGAGGGGTGGGGCTGGGTGGAGAGGGGAGGGTAGGGAGGGGCTGGGTGGGGAGGGGAGGGTGGGGAGGGGCTGGGTGGGGGGTGGGAGGGGTGGGGCTGGGTGGGGTGGGGCTGGGTGGGGTGGGGCTGGGTGGGGTGGGGCTGGGTGGGGTGGGGCTGGGTGGGGTGGGGCTGGGTGGGGAGGGGCTGGTCACCCCGTGGTGCCCTTATAAAACTCAACTTTTAACCTACTCACGCCGACTTGTGCCCGCCCTCACAGTCGGGCATATTTGCGGAATACACCACGCCGCCGTTGACCCTGGCCACTGACCGAGCAACCAACGTTCCTACCAGCCCCCACCGCAGGAATGTGTTAATAGATCACGACGTTTCGATCACAACACAAGCAATCGTCATCAGGTGGAACAACCACAGCAAGAAAAAAAACTGCTGTGGTTGTCCCACCTGATGACGATTGTTTGTGTTGCGATCGAAACGTCGTGATCTATTATTGTTTCTACCTACGTGACTTTACCGAAAGAACCAAAGAGTATGGATTCCTGCAGTCACGAAAGCTTCAAATCAAGATTGAACTCTTTCTGCATTAATAGAGTCCATTCCCAATTAATATTGAGCTCTCAGCAAGCGCTCGTGTGTGTGTGCACGTGATGCCTTGCAATATGTGTCTATTTGGTGTTTTAACATCTAAACACCCCGTGTTATTGCCGGAAAGGGTAAAGCCTATTTCTTTGTTCATTAAATGTCCCACGTGTGTCTGTGGAGCGGCAGCGTAGTATGTCGTGCAAGGAGTTTTCTTAGCATTGAGATCAACCTGAAATATGTAGTACTTATAGCAGGGAATTTTCTTAATCAAGCAAGACAAATTCACGTGATTATTGGTGCAGTGATCAGTGACTGAGACCGTCAACTAGTTACAATTGAGACTATGTAAAGCATTAATCATAATTATTATATCATTATTATTAAATAAGTAGACAAGACGCCGGGATGTCAGTGCTCCGAGATCCAGAATTGGAAGATGCCGAATGAAGGCTGTTGCGGAATAAACTCCACAACTTGTTCTTCCACAACTCTGATTAGGAATCTAACTCGGTTGCTGTGGACTCACTCGGCAACCGCAATGGCTCCAACACAAAACACGCGGTATTGGAATTGATCAAACATGCCAATGCAGAGCCCTCCTGTAAGATTATTTAGCCTCGGTGATGCTTGTCTCGGTTAATGATCGGTCATAATGAATGTATGTTGTTGGGTTAGATCGCGTAACACACCCGTGTGCTGAAGTAGTAACGAACTGGGACGTTTTTTTCACGTGACACACCTTACTGATTGACTGTGTTGGGTGGTGGCGGGTTTAACGACGCACATATTTTCGCGATATAACCCCCCAAAAAACACTTTATTACGAATAATATTGGTCGCGAAAGCCTACGTGTTAAACTAATCATTGGCATTATTATTGGTAAACAGCCTCGATGGCCGACCGGCGTGGTGAAGTATGGTTAATTAAGCCCACGTAAATGACAAAATGGCTAAACATTATTCCATTTGAAATCTGGGTCGTGAACAAGATATATAATTTTAAAGGATGTGTACACGTTTATCAGACTCTATATATTCTCAAGGATAAAGCAAATATTAATAAATGATATTTAAATGGTCGCCAAACAACTAATAAAAACGATAGGATAGTTCTGAACACAATGTTAGTGGGGTTACACAATCAATACGGCATGCAAGGAAGGCAAGTGACAGAATGGCAGCCAGAGGGAGAAAAAAATAATAACAGCAGCCACCAATCGCCACTAAGTGGCGGTGACGTCACCAGGGCGTTTGTGCCAGGCTAGGTGCACTCCCAAGGCCACGTGAACAATGTGGAAGGATCGCTGGTAGGAGGTCACGAAATACACCCAGGTACCATGGGTTGACTGCTGTGCCAGGCTAGGTGCAGGAGGAGGTCACCTGACAGACTCAGGTACCATGGGTTGACTGCTGTGCCAGGCTAGGTGTAGGAGGAGGTCACGTGACAGACCCAGGTGCCATGGGTTGACTACCTGAGATGACGAGAAGAAGCACCACCTGTGCCCTTTACTGTGCTGAAGGAGAGAATGCGATCACGAGTCCCGCCACTTTGGATGTGGAGCGATACAATCAGCTCGTGTGAAGGAGTGAGATGGATAGCAGCAGCACTGGACAGAGTGAGAAATGGCGACGACTTTGGGAGGCGTTCATCCATCAGTGGACAGATCACGGCTGATTCACGATTCGAACAAACAGTTAAATTGTGACTCGATGCATCCGGTACAGTATATGACAAGATAAATAAGCAATGTCTCCTTCATGTGTCAGAATCAGAATATTTATTTAGACTGGAGGAATCCGATGAACTATGAAGCATGTCCCATCTCTCCACGTGAGAGACATCGTATAGACCCTTCAGAAAAAATAAAACAAATACGCAGGTAACCCGTTTCTCTACGTAAAAAGAAATACATTCCACAACCCCCATCAGCCGCACGGCCCTCTGAGAGTGCGCAATTTCAGCAGCATTGATTCAAGGCAAGCAAACTCTGAGCCGGTTTTGACCCACAGTGTCTCATCAGCAGTGCCAAGCGCGTCCTTTGAAATCAACAACGCTGGTGAACTGCCGATCTTAGAGGCAAGGAGTAGGACCCGGTATTTATGCCACGCGTTCCGAATATATGAACCCTTTCCTACACCCAGCATTGCTATCCCAAAAACAAAGATCCCCCGTATAGCCTGTAACAGACTGTTGGGTCAAGTGCTGTTAGCGAGCAGCACTTGTGAATGCTGGCACGGCGCACGAGGATGTGGGTGGCCAGCAACCACGCCCGGCCGCTTTTGTCTCCCCAGTGGCAATATTCACACACTGCACCAGGTACTCATTTGAGGCTGAGTCGATCTAGGGGAGCCCAAGACCGCGTTCGAATAATCGTCACCAGTGTTGGCCGTGGGCGGGAATCGAACTCGGTTCGCCGGGTTCACAGCGCGACGCGCTAACCGCTACGCCACCGCTCCCCCAGCATTAACCCCCAGGGTACGATGGCAGCAGCGCCATCATCATCAGCAGCATCATCATCATCAGCAGAGGAAAAAGCCTCGAGCAAAGGAGCAGCCCGGAGCGGTATCCGTTCCGCTCGCTCTCATCTTTGGCATCTCGTGCTCCGCGCTGAGAATGCGACTCAATTGACGATGCGACTCAGCCAATTGGGGGGGGGGAGGAATGGGGGGGGGGGTCTGAACACCGCCCCCCACCCACTCATCGCTCACCAGGCTTCTGTCACGGTCACGTGGGTGGGAGGGTCGCGTCCATTGTTTATTTGGCCAAGAGAGAGAGAGAAGAGCAGAGGAGAGCGAGCGGAGAGAGTGAGAGGGGACGGACAGAGACAGAGAGAGAAGAAAGGACGACGGAGGCGCGAGAAGAGAGAGAGAGAGATACAAAATAAAATTAATAATCAGCGCGACCGCTGCCCGTACCGATCATCCATCCATCCCGTCCGCCTGCCCGCCAGACGCCGCTCTACGGCCATGCTTGGCATCATCAACAAACTGCTGGACTGGTTCAAGTCGCTCTTCTGGAAGGAAGAGATGGAGCTCACGCTCGTCGGCCTCCAATATTCGGGCAAAACGACGTTCGTGAACGTGATCGCGGTGAGTAGCATCACCCTCCGCGCGGGGGGGGGGCTAGGTGGCTGATAACGCGAGGGCTTCTCGGAATATTTAGGGCGAAGGAGGAGGGCGAGTGGGCTTTTAGGATGGGGCGGATGGATGGTTTGAGATGGGGTTTGTGTGTGGTTCACGGCGCGCTGTTGATGGTGCTGGGTTGGTGGTGGTGGGACCTCCCAATAGGGTCGACTCGTTCTCAAAATCGAGTGGCCGGTGTGTGAACATCGCCACACGGGGAGACAAAGGCGGCCGGGCGTGGTTGCTGGCCACCCAACGCACCCATCGTGTGCCACAGTGCCGGCCTTCGCAGGTGCTCGCTAACGCCACTTGCCCCTTACAGCCTGTCGGAGGCGATACGGGGGGTGGAGCCTTGTCTTTTGGTGAGGATAATCGGAGATGGTGGGAGACGTGGGCTGTAGGCGAGCGCGGCCTGGGTGTTGTGAGGTCGGGCGGGGAGGGAGCGAGGGAGCGAGCGACGCCGCCCGCTATTCGCGCTCGCGGCCGGCAGGGCGACGCAGGCGACACGGGGGGGTCGGAGTGGGAGGAGGGCGCGATTAGATCGTAACAACAACAGCAGCATCAACAAAAGGGCCTCTCCAAATCCACTTGTTATGATGCTAATTCGCATCTCGTTCGTAAATTAATGACGTGTGGGGGGGGGGGGGGGCTCCGCCCCTTAACCACCACGAGAGTAACACTCGGCGACTCATCAGAGACAGCCTGCCGAGTCCACCCACGATGGGAGGGGTTGGGGGTTTAACAACCATCGCGATTTTCGGTGCACGGCGCTCGTCGACCGACGGTTCCGCTCCCGTCGTGCCGTTGTCGAGGCTCCGTTGTTAAAGCGGCGACGACGAGGCCTGCGATGATGATCCCGAACCAAACGATGATGAGTGTGAGCGCGCCAAGTTCCTGCTTTGTATCTATCCTGGGCTCTGCGAACGGGATTCCGAATGAACGGGTCGCTGTCCGCGGTGCTGAATCCCAATGTTGATTGAATGCTTCGCGAGCGGCCAGCTTCCCGTCCTCTGTCCATCGTACGGAGCCCTCCGATTATTCAATACAGGGCCTGACAAACGTGTCCCCGCTGTCCACGTTGCTGAATCCCCATGTTGATTCAATGCCCCGTGAGCGGCCAGCTATCCGTGCTGTGTCCATCGTACAGAGCCCTCCGATTATTTATTCAATACAGGGCCTGACAAACGTGTCCCCGCTGTCGACGGTGCTGAATCCCAATGTTGATTCAATGCCCGGTGAGCAGAGGTCGCTGTCCTTGGCTCCGAATGAATTGTAAATGTAATACCAGACACGCGGGTCGCTGTGCCTCGTGTTTTGTATACGATGTTGATGCAATGCCTGATCAACCCATCGCGCTTACTGAAATACATTAATTCACTATCCGATGGACGGGTCCCTCCCTGTTGCTGGTGTTGAACTTCGCGTTAATTGAATACTCCCATGAACTGGTCGCTGTCTATTGAATCACGTGTTAATTAAATACGAGCTGAACGAGTCACTTCCCACGGTACCAAAATCCATGTTAATTCAATACCTGAATAATTGGTCTCTCTTCATGGTTTTAAATTACATTCTAGGTGAAATAAATGTAATCCAATGTAATTTTGCACGTGGTGCTACATTTTGGACTCATCATTAACCACACTTCTTACATTTTTGGTCGCACAGTTCGACTCAAATCTCCATCCAGCTCATATACAGTGAGGGAAAAAAGTATTTGATCCCCTGCTGATTTTGTACGTTTGCCTACTGACAAAGAAATGATCAGTCTATAATTTTAATGGTAGCTTTATTTGAACAGTGAGAGACAGAATAACAACAAAAAAATCCCGAAAAACGCATGTAAAATGTTATAAATTGATTTGAATTTTAATGGGGGGAATAAGTATTTGACCCATCTGCAAAACATGACTCAGTACTTGGTGGCAAAACCCTTGTTGGCAATCACAGAGGTCAGACGTTTCTTGCAGTTGGCCACCAGGTTTGCACACATCTCAGGAGGGATTTAGTCCCACTCCTCTTTGCAGATATTCTCCAAGTCATTAAGGTTTCGAGGCTTACGTTTGGCAACTCGAACCTTCAGCTCTCTCCACAGATTTTCTATGGGATTAAGGTTCTGGAGACTGGCTAGGCCACTCCAGGACCTTTATGTGCTTCTTCTTGAGCCACTCCTTTGTTGCCTTGGCCGTGTGTTTTGGGTCATTGTTATGCTGGAATACCGATCTACGACCCATTTTCAATGCCCTGGCTGAGGGAAGGAGGTGCTCACCTAAGATTTGACGGTACATGGCCCCGTCCATCGTCCCTTTGATGCGGTAAAGTTGTCCTGTCCCCTTAGCAGAAAAACACCCCCAAAGCATGTTTCCACCTCCATGTTTGATGGTGGGGATGGTGTTCTTGGGGTCATAGGCAGCATTCCTCCTCCAAACACGGCGAGTTGAGTTGATGCCAAAGAGCTCCATTTTGGTCTCATCTGACCACAACACTTTCACCCAGTTGTCCTCTGAATCATTCAGATGTTCATTGGCAAACTTCAGACGTGCAAGTATATGTGCTTTCTTGAGCAGGGGGACCTTGCAGGCACTGCAGGATTTCAGTCCTTCACGGCGTAGTGTGTTACCAATTATTTTCTTGGTGACTATGGTCCCAGCTTCCTTGAGATCATTGACAAGATCCTCCCGTGTAGTTCTGGGCTGATTCCTCACCGTTCTCATGATCATTGCAACTCCACGAGGTGAGATCTTGCATGGGGCCCCAGGCCGAGGGAGATTGACAGTTCTTTTGTGTTTCTTCCATTTGCGAATAGTCGCACCAACTGTTGTCACCTTCTCACCAAGCTGCTTGGCAATGGTCTTGTAGCCCATTCCAGCCTTGTGTAGGTCTACAATCTTGTCCCTGACATCCTTGGAGAGCTCTTTGGTCTTGGCCATGGTGGAGAGTTTGGAATCTGATTGATTGCTTCTGTGAACAGGTGTCTTTTATACAGGTAACAAGCTGAGATTAGGAGCACTCCCTTTAAGAATGTGCTCCTAAGCTCAGCTCGTTACCTATATAAAATACACCTGGGAGCCAGAAATCTTTCTGATTGAGAGGGGGTCAAATACTTATTTCCCTCATTAAAATGCAAATCAATTTATAACATTTTTGACATGCGTTTTTCTGGATTTTTTGTTGTTGTTATTCTGTCTCTCACTGTTCAAATAAACCTACCATTAAAATTATAGACTGATAATTTCTTTGTCAGTGGGCAAACGTACAAAATCAGCAGGGGATCAAATACTTTTTTCCCTCACTGTATCTGACCCACTTCAGCAATTTGTTTTCAATCACGGATTTTGAGCTATGGCTATGCTTGGCCTTGCCATAACTCCTCACCCATTTTGGCGAGCCTACGCAGGGCCTCGAGCAGTTGTTGAGGCTGAGTGATTGGCGAGTTGAACAAAGAGAAGACTTAAGGAGTGAACTTAAGCAAAGGGCTTAAATTTGGCATTTTAGCAGGCTTGGCTTTCATGCTGATCCACGTCTGCGTGACAGCGACGTGGTGTGATGGCTGAAAAGAGAACGGCGCTTGAACGAGTTGATGTTATGTGTTTTTTGTTTTTTTATATTTCAGTCCGGCCAGTACAGCGAAGACATGATCCCTACGGTGGGCTTCAACATGCGGAAAATTACCAAGGGCAATGTGACCATTAAGGTAATTCATGCTCTCCGAATAGACGCGCGTAAAACACTCGTGCAAACGTGAGAGAATTTGCGAAGTTATTGACCTTGATGATTTTTGTGTAAACTAGATAAGGGGCCATTGAGACCGAGAGTCTCTTTCGATGGAGACCTATGATACGAAAGAAATACAGTGAACATTTATTAAACACGCAGTCAACATATCTGACTCCATAAACCCGTGTTCATTATGGCCATTAAATAATGAATCTTTAAAACGAAATATGGATAATAAAAATTCACAATGCATTTGCAACTAACAATAACGACAGTAATTGCCGATGATCGATATTGTGGGAGAAAATGTAAAAATATAACAATTTCCAAGAAGGAACATTTTAACTGTGAAACTGGGTATTGCTTAAAAGTAGCATTTGTGTTATCCTTTATTAACAAGAAGATTAAATTAACCCATTGAAATGCATGAAACATGCATTTTGAAACAAGTCATTTTAGTCCACTATAAAAAAAATCTATTAAATTCAACGCATCTAGACTAAACGGAGCAATCATTTTGTAGAAATTCGAATGAGCAAAGTAATGACATTGAATGGCATTTTAATAATTAAAAAATGATACAAGCAATACAATGCAATTTGTCGACAGAAACGTGACTCACAATTAGCAGCAACATAGTCAAAATTGTATTCCGTGTTCATTTCCTAATGGAAGACTGACTCAGAAGGAGTCATTCTTGAAGACTCGCTGTGAAGACATTTTCTTTACACATTAGAACGACGCAGTGCCAGTTCGGGTGCAGAGAACATCACAGGATAAACACATCCCATCGTAGTGTTCACTTGTAACACGTCTCACGGTAGTGTCTTAGGGAGGGCCTAAAATCCAGGGGATTAACTGTGTAGTTTTAAATCCAGATTGACTGACAATTCCAATACAGCATCAATCATTGATCTTTACCAGCCAGGTATACTCTATAAAACAGTTTTTTTTTGGGTTAAATCGCATAAATATATAAATGTGTCGTTAAACCCGCCACCACCCGACACAGCCAATCAGTAAGGTTGCACTAACCAGGTATACTCTGTTCTCCAGAGTATACAACGCACTTTTTCTCCCGCTATCTGGAAGAAAAAGTTTACGGGTGACTCAAATGGTCCACGTGGGTGGGTTCACAAACCCACCTTTTATATTGTCGTGTCCCGGCCACCTCGCTAGCCCCGAGGGTGCGGGAGTCTCGTGTTTCAGGTGCAGTTCTCTGAACCAATTCTGGTCCTTTTTATTTTGCTGCAGAAAATCAGGCTGATCCAATTCCTAACCGAACTGAAGTGTGACCACATCCGTATAACTGTATTGACACTTGAAAACTCAGTTCAACACGTAGGCTTTCGCGACCAATATCTTCCATAATACAGGTTTTTTTTGGGTTAGATCGCGTAAATATATGTGTCGTTAATCCTGCCACCACCCGACACAGCCCACTAGTAAGGTTTGTCACGTAAACAGAACGTGCCAATTCGTTACTAGTACAGCAACACCAGTTTGTTGGAGGGCCAGCCAAGCCTCAACATTTACAATCTGAGTACGACGTTTCTCCAGTAATTACAACTAGCTTCATCAGGCAACAGCCAGATTTGTGGAGAAGTCCACCCGTTTCATTCCTTAAAACGAATTTCTTTACAAATGCTTTTTGTGTTTTAGTTTGTTGTCCTTCCCCCCGCACCTCCGATTAGCACAGTCGGCTACGTCAGGTGCGAAAGAAGTTCAATGTACACGAATTTGGAGCATCTTATAATCCAGAGAATACGGTAATAATTGTGCGTGCAGCCTGGGTAGAGTAGGGTAGGCGTGAGTGTTCTTCTCTCACGGACTTCCTGCAAGTAGACTTCACACCAGCAGGGAGAGCTGCTGTAGAGTGGTTGGGAGTTTTGTGAGCTCTAGTGGGGGCACGCCTGTGGCACAATAGAAAGAACACGGTTTTTTTCAACAGCACACTCAACACGATCATGACGGCTGATACGGTGCACGTTTTTAGGAAGATTTCAGATAAAATGAAATCATTTTTGGTTTTAGCACATCTGTTTTACGATGTACATTTACCTCCATTTTTGTCAATCCACTGTTGGATGAGGGCCTTTTCGTGCTGTATAGGTAGTTGTGATTGTTGACCATACTTCACCATGTTGGTTAGTACAGGTGGGTGACGGTGGGGAGCGTAGATATAGCAGCATAGATGTAGAGTACAACAATACGTTTTTGCTGCACATTTTTTCTGATGTCCACTGCGTAGGCCCACAGCAGCCTATAACAACCTGCTGTGCATGGTGGTCACCCATCCAAGCGCAATGCAGGCTCAACCCTGCTTAGCCTCCGATATCTGACGAGATCGCACGCAATCCCGGTTGATCGAACCGAATGGCTTCTCTCCGTAGCTTTGACGCCACAGACCGCCGTTGCGACCTGGCTCTGCGCGCAGCCCGGTGCAAAGCGCACATCAACGTTCGTGCACAATCTTGTCTGTTAATTTCCAATGTGCACGCATCGCAGCATAAAGGTGGATCGCCGGTAAGTCTGCGTCAGGGTTGCGTGTGGTTTTATTTTTTCCGCCCGATGAGCGCGCGTTGTCCGTGCTCCATGTCTGGTTTTTCGCCCCCCCCCCTCCCCCCCCCCCACCTCCCCTCCCCCGTCCGTGTTCGCCGCCGCCGCCGGCCTCCAGCTGTGGGACATCGGAGGGCAGCCGCGCTTCCGCAGCATGTGGGAGCGCTACTGCCGCGGCGTGAATGCCATCGTGTGAGTACGGCGCGACGCGGCTTTCGGGGCTGTGCGGTGATGACAATCGTTACTCGCGCGTGCGCGGAGCGGTGATGGCTTGGCGGCAAAATGCTCGACTATAACCAGGGGCCTCCCAGGGCCTCCCAGGGCCTCCCAGGGCCTCCCAGAGCCTCCCAGGGTGTTCCTGGAGGCCCCGGGGAAAATTGGGGGGGGGGTGGTCCCCTTCTTTCACTATGCACAGGCCCATTGTTGGGGCCCCCTTTTGTGTGAAGCCCCCCCTGGGCAAATTGCCCCTCTACCCATCCTGCCCTACCCCCCTATCCACCCACTCTGGGCAGCCCTGATTGTGACTATTGCAAAGAGGCTTCCATCATGCCCTGCTCATCACGTGACATCGCCACGCTGCGTGCACACGGCCTTGTGGTAGACCACCGGACCCAAAGGTCACGACTGTGGCAGGTCGAGACGCCTGTACGCACCGGTTGTTACGATTCATCAGTGGAGGGAAGCCATCGTAGCGTGCCGCTGACTTTGGCCTCGGGGCCTATATTTGGACAATAACGCCATGATTACGGTCGGGACAAATTGGCGCTGCCTATGGGTGACAAGATAACAGTTCCAACATTGTGGCAGGGGCTGTGGGTCCCTGCAGAGCTCCGCTTCTGCTGCGTTGGCTCAACATGGTGGATTCTGATCCGCACGGTTGTTAGTTGAGGGAGCACGGTTGGGTCTAATTGAGCCTGGTTACGTGGTATGGATTAAGACCACAGTGCAGACCTAAACCGATCCGATCAGATCCGTGTTGCGCTGGACGCAATCCTGATGGGTGCTTTGATCCACACCTGATCGATTGGGATTGGATTCTACTTATTGCGTGTTAAACGTCTTACGGGAAGATGATTTCATTAATTGCAGTCGTGAGCGTTTTGGCTTGTGGGTAAGAAAGCAGTGCACCCAGAGAGATCCCATTAATATGTTGCTTTGACTCAAATGGTCCACACGAATAGGTTCACAAACCCACCTTTTATATCGACGTGTGCTGTCCACCTCGCTAGCCCCAAGGGTTTGGGCGTCTCGTGTTTTAGATTCACTTCTCTAAACCGATTCTGGTCTTTTTATTTACTGCAGAAAAGCAGGCCGATCCGATATCCTAACCGAACTGAAGATTTTACTCCCTGGTAATTGGACGTACGACAACGCGTCGATTGAAACTACGTTCTTATTCTCGTGACAACTGCGTTGAATCGCACACGTGGGAAATGGTAATTTACCCGGTGTGCAGATTACATGCTGATGTCACGTTGCGGCGAGTGGACGGGACGAGAGGGTAGAGTGAACGACCCCTGACAAAATGGGGCAGGCGAGACGGCCGTGGGAGACCAACAAATATAAAAATTGTTGACTTAATCAAATCGCGATCGTGATTCGGGACACTTTATTGAATTGCGGTGAACTAGTGGGTGACATGTCGCAACACGCCTAGTACACTGACCTTTACCCTGGGCTTTTGCGAGCAGTTGCAGCGGGGATTAGGTGTCAGGAAGTGAGGTTCGGTGGCCTGTTGCTGCCTTCGCAGGCTGCTGGTCTCAGTGGCGCAGCCGGCTATGTCACTGGAAAACAGTGCACGCTCATGGAAACAAAAGGGGCGTTTTAAAACACCGCGCTCGCCGATGCCACAATTGGGGTCACAGTTTGGAGGTTTTTTTTACTATGTCACTTGTGTTGTTTACAGGTTTTCTCACTCCATTAGAACTTGACGTCAAATTGGAATGCCGCATGTGTGGGTCAACGCTTGCATGCTTTTTGGCGTGAACATCGTTTTTAGAGTTTGGCCTGGTCGATTCATGTCGCGGCCGTCAGGTTTAGTCTCAAATAGTGCAGAGGTGGAGAAACGGCCATCTTAATCGTCACCAGGCATGATCCATCCACTGCTGGATGAAGGCCTTCCCAAGCCGTCGCCATCTCTCGCTGCCTTCTGGGTGGCAACATACGATCCAGTTCACGGCCACGATCCGGTGTTGTCGTGCCGTCTCCACGCTAGACGCCCCCCTCTGGCGTGTTCGCTCCTTTGGCTGGTCCCGACCACCGGCCTCCGTCATCCCTCCTGCCCGAGCCCACTTACAAGCCCAGCCGTTTGGCAAGCCATACTCGCTCTTCTCGTAACCGTTCCATGGTGGAACAGTTAGAAAGCGGTCCGGAGGTTCGACGGGTCAGTTCCGTCTCCCGGCGTGGACGTTGAAACAACAACAACGGTGCAAGTTTCTCAAAGCTGCGCCTGCCGCTGAATTCTATCCACCCAGCAGCATCGCTGGGTGTGACCACGTTCAGCCGATGGAGCAGGTTGCGTGCGGCGGAGTAAGTCTTGGCTACTCCCGCCTCTTCCAAGACGTCCGGTCCACGTTTGTAGAGAGGAGAACGACCGCCACTCTCGAGTTGGTTCCAGTTGATGCCCCTCCTGCCAGGCAGTGGCGTGAGCAGGCAATTGCAGGGCCGCACCTTTGCCTTTACACTCGCGCGCATCATCAACAGGGCACGGGAATAACAGTCAGGGCACCGGGGGTTTGTGCGTATCGCCGATTTATGAAGTGGCTACGACGCACTCGTTTGGGGGGTTATCGTTCGCTGTCGCTTCGGCGAAGCCCCCGGGGTTGATCGTTGCGCCCGAGAGCGGCTCTGTCCACCTGCGCCCACGGTTATTTAATGTGCCGCGGAATCATTGACGCGGGGAGAAAAACAAAAACGCGCGGCAGCCACCCGACCTTTGTATTTCTCTTTTGTTTGCTCGGCAAACGTCGTGGGTATTTCCAGCCTTGGCCTCGGACCGGCAGGTAGATCGATCGTAGCGCAACTCCCTCGCTTCTGTTGCGTCGGCATGCACGTCATCGGTGGCAGGTTGATAGGTGAACCGGTGGTCTTGGGCAACTCCCTTCACCAAACGCGGTACGGTGAAGTATGGTCAAACAGCTCCCACGATCAACGACGGTATGTGCAGGCGTTAATCCGGCAGTAGATTGAGGAAGGAAGGTACGCTATTAGAACATAACTCGTATCTGAAAGTTGGAAAAGCAAATGTCACCAGAACTCTTGAGTCTCCACGTAACATATCCTTCAGTCCATCGGGCCGTTGGCTTTCCAGACCAATGTTATTTGGACCTTGTGGGTCTCATCAGCGTGGTCAGGTTTGACAAATTAATGCTGCTGTCTTCCCAGATGTCATTGGCAATGGCAGATGGTCTAGACGCATAAAGCAACACTGTACGAGTACTGGAAAAAAACAGGATGTGATGCCAAGGAGCATCATGGGTAGAGTGAGTGGCCCGCAATTGCACTGTTGTGGAAGGTGGTCAGTTGGGGGCATGATAAAACCCATCATCCCTCCTGGGTCCAACTGCACGTGAGACAGGTGCGGTTGGACTCTATCTGTGTATGCGTGTAATGTGGAGACAGAGTCGAGAGTCCAACCCGCATGCCCGCTCGATGCCACACTTCTTGCTGCCCCCCCCACCCTCCCGACCTCGAGATTAATAAAGTGCGGTCGCAAGGATACGGACACAGTGGTGGGGTAGCGTGCAGCCCGAGGTCGCTTAATAATTCACGTTGTGGCTTGGCGATTGCGCGCGGCGGGCGGCGATCTGCCCGACCAAACCGTCCGCCCCCCGCGGCTCTCTCTCCGTGACGCTTCGCCCCGACGCTTCCCACATCTCACCCGTGTTTCACTGATTTACTGAAAGGTTTTACTTTTTTTCGCTTCCCAGGGCAAACGCGGGCAGCGATTGAAACAATGGGAAAGTTCTCTTTAAATTGACCGCCCCCCCTGACCCCCCCTGACCCCCCCCCCCCCCCCCCAGTGTGTTAACCATTACACCGTGGATTCTGCCACAGTGGTGTAATGGCTGGCACACCACACTTGCAATCTTGAGGTCACCGGTTCAATCCCACGTCCTGGCTAGGCAGTTGAAATAAAAAAAAAGTGGCGCAAATTTCTAAAAATCCTACCCCACCCCACCGCACCCCTGCCTGCCGCCTCGATATTTATAGCAAAAGATGTTTGTCGGTTATCTTGATGTTTAGTCATCCACACATGTAAACACTCATCCAGTGGCTGATATCATCTTCGCGCGCAGAGGCCGCCTGGCTGCTGTCTCCCCGCTCGCCTGTGGTTCGCTCTCTCGCTCCCAGAGTCGTTCGCTCTCTTACTCCCAGAGTCGTTCGCTCTCTCGCTCCCAGAGCCGTTCGCTCTCTCGCTCCCAGAGTCGTTCGCTCTCTCGCCTCCCAGAGTCGTTCGCTCCCAGAGTCGTTCGCTCTCTCGCTCCCAGAGTCGTTCGCTCTCTCGCTCCCAGAGTCGTTCGCTCTCTCGCTCCCAGAGTCGTTCGCTCTCTCGCTCCCAGAGTCGTTCGCTCTCTCGCTCCCAGAGTCGTTCGCTCTCTCGCTCCCAGAGTCGTTCGCTCTCTCGCTCCCAGAGTCGTTCGCTCTCTCGCTCCCAGAGTCGTTCGCTCTCTCGCCTCCCAGAGTCGTTCGCTCTCTCGCTCCCAGAGTCGTTCGCTCTCTCGCTCCCAGAGTCGTTCGCTCTCTCGCTCCCAGAGTCGTTCGCTCTCTCGCTCCCAGAGTCGTTCACTCTCTCGCCTCCCAGAGCCGTTCGCTCTCTCGCTCCCAGAGTCGTTCGCTCTCTCGCTCCCAGAGTCGTTCGCTCTCTCGCTCCCAGAGTCGTTCGCTCTCTCGCTCCCAGAGTCGTTCGCTCTCTCGCTCCCAGAGTCGTTCGCTCTCTCGCTCCCAGAGTCGTTCGCTCTCTCGCTCCCAGAGTCGTTCGCTCTCTCGCTCCCAGAGTCGTTCGCTCTCTCGCTCCCAGAGTCGTTCGCTCTCTCGCCTCCCAGAGTCGTTCGCTCTCTCGCTCCCAGAGTCGTTCGCTCTCTCGCTCCCAGAGTCGTTCGCTCTCTCGCTCCCAGAGTCGTTCGCTCTCTCGCTCCCAGAGTCGTTCGCTCTCTCGCTCCCAGAGTCGTTCGCTCTCTCGCTCCCAGAGTCGTTCGCTCTCTCGCTCCCAGAGTCATTCGCTCTCTCGCCTCCCAGAGTCGTTCGCTCTCTCACCTCCCAGAGTCGTTCGCTCTCTCGCTCCCAGAGTCGTTCGCTCTCTCGCTCCCAGAGTCGTTCACTCTCTCGCCTCCCAGAGTCGTTCGCTCTCTCGCTCCCAGAGTCGTTCGCTCTCTCGCTCCCAGAGTCGTTCGCTCTCTCGCTCCCAGAGTCGTTCGCTCTCTCGCCTCCCAGAGTCGTTCGCTCTCTCACCTCCCAGAGTCGTTCGCTCTCTCGCTCCCAGAGTCGTTCGCTCTCTCGCTCCCAGAGTCGTTCACTCTCTCGCCTCCCAGAGTCGTTCGCTCTCTCGCTCCCAGAGTCGTTCGCTCTCTCGCTCCCAGAGTCGTTCGCTCTCTCGCTCCCAGAGCCGTTCGCTCTCTCGCTCCCAGAGCCGTTCGCTCTCTCGCTCTGAGAACGTGCGGCAACCGTGCGGTGCGAGTTCGAAGTTGGTGTAATTATTTGATCGTCATTACCATCGTCAGCTTTTCCTGAGGGTCCTGCGTTTGAATGATTGGCCTAGGAGAGGAACCCAGAGCACCCGGGGAACACTTGAAGGTCCGCACAGACGCTTCCATGAATCCACTCGTTGCACTGCCATCCCCCGGGGGAACCTCGTAGCCCATGCCTTCATCATCTGCTGCCTCCAGTATTACCCGTGTCACGATGCATCGAGCGATTGATGTCGAAGGCGCTTCGTATGGTCGCCAAACAAGCGTAGAAGCGCGTGTGTAAAGTGTCCACCGCAGTGGTGAAGAAGTTGATTCTTTTACAAGAGTCGTGGTCGCGAACCGTGACATCTACTCAATCACGAGGGGGTGGGGAGGGCGGGCGAGGAGAGAGGGACGGATTCGGTGTGTACCTTCCAGCCAGGCTCAAGACTGCTTGGCTTTCAGGGTCCGACAGGTGATACCTGGCACAAATTCAGTCCGCTTCCGTCGATGTGCCGTGATGGCGCTTATCGCATTAATTATTCAAACTTGGTAACTCTGTACAGTGATGCCACAGTGACGGTGCCCGCGCTCGCGTCTGCGTGCGTGGCACTGCACGCTGGTCAGACGGGCGTGCGGGGATAATGACCCTGGTGGAGCGATGATGGTGGTGACGACGACGACGATGTTGGTGGAGGTGATGGAGTGGTGATGGTGATGACGACGATGGTGGAGGAGGTGATGGGGACCGTCTCTCGTTCCCGTAGGTACATGGTGGACGCTGCTGACCACGACAAGCTGGAAGCGTCGCGGAACGAGCTGCACAACCTCCTGGAGAAGCCCCAGCTGCAGGGAATCCCGGTAAGTCTCTCCGTCACGCTGCCGTCACACTCGGTCACATGCCACGGTGATGTCACACGCCGCCACACCCTGTCACGCCGCGGTGAAGTCACACCGCCACCACACGGCCGTCACGTGCCACCAACACCTTTGGTGACGTCACGCTACGGTGATGTAACACGGTGGTGACGTCACACCACTGTAACACGGCCGTCAGACCGCGGTCGCGTCACGCCGCGGCGATGCTCCGCCGCTGTCACATCACCGTCACATCGCGATGATGTCAGATGCCGTCACACTGCAGTGACATCACATCCTGTCGCACCTCGATGATGTCACGCCGCCGTCACATCACCGTCACATCGCGATGATGTCAGATGCCGTCACACTGCAGTGACATCACATCCTGTCGCACCTCGATGATGTCACACGGCCGTCACACCACCGTCACGATGCAACGATAGATTTTTTTCTTTCTGCACTGCCCTCTGCTGCTGTACTAAATACATCAAATTTACGCTATAACCTTTAAATATTCCATAGAAAAAATAATCAGTCATGCTCAATCCACTGCTGAATGAAGACCCTGCCATGCCACTGTCACCTGCCACTATCTTGTGATGTAATAATCCACCAAGCACCTAATTTTAATTTATATTTATATAGCGCCTTCACTCAAGGCGCTTGACACCGCTTACAAGAGGGTGACAGAATGGAATGATGTGGATGGCAGGTTGCGTACAAGGATTGGGGAATGAGTGACAGCGACAGAGGGTGAATTCATCGCTCCGTCTCCTTGGTGGACGCGCGATCGGACGCGTTCCATTCCTTGGCTGCCACTCCGTCCTTATTTTGGATGTCGACCATTAGCCATCGTCCCTCCTTTACAGGAACTGGGCCGTCTTTATGCACCAAGGAAGTCCTTGAGATCTTCGGCTTGCCTTCTTCTCAGTACTCTGAGGTCAAGGCTTTGTTTCTGGGGTGATCCGGCTTTTGCGAGTGCGGCTCCCAAGCTTGCAAGTGTAAATTATTATTATTAGCGATGCGCCCTGGTCAAACCCACATCCTTGTCTCAAAAGCTTGAATGATGTCATAAACCCACGAACGCGTCTCTCCCTAAACGTAACAGTTCGTAATGATGACCCACGTAATGATTCATATTTAGCAACGAACAAAATATATACGTGGATTTCAATTTTCATATCCTCCACGTACGTGCGAAGAGAAATGTTTGCATACGCTTGGATTTCAGGGGCTGGGGGAGGAGGAGTGCGAGGGACGGTGGGGCACGATGTTCACATGGCGGAGGGAGAAATTGCAGCTCGCTCGCCAGCTCATTCGCTCGCGCATCCCCTTGCTCTTGGCTTCCCAGAACCCTGGGCAAGCGTCTAAAAATACCAGCTCTTACAAAATGGCTTTTCCCTTGATGTGCGCTGTTAGTCCTTGGAATATGAAAAAAAAACCTCCTTGCCGCAACCGCACACTTTCCCCGACCTACTTGCTAGGAGCGCGGTGGCTCGCACAAGCCTCCAATCTCGTGGTTCTGGCCCAAAGATGTTACTGTTGGAGAAATTAATTCATTGTTTTGTTAGTTTCCGTTGATGTTAGACGTAGGGACGACGAGGGAGCAGCGGTACATTCCCCCCCACTCCCCCCCGTCCCCTTGCCATATTCACTCGGCCTGCAATCGACGGCGTGGTGAACTGTCGGCAAACATTTCCCATGAGCGACACGGCACGGGGGAGGCGTTCATCCAGCAGTGAGAGTGTTAAACGGCTGGCTGTAAATTATGTAAAAAAAAATATTATTTGTGAAATGCGATATCAGGAGTAGTAAATAAAAACAACCCCATTCATTTTTTTCCAGATTTTAGGCAGATATGGAGGCGTCGGATTAAAATAAATTCTAATCGCATCGAATCGTGGTCCGAACAATGGATGATTTACGATTCACGATGCAAAGTTCCCGCAGCGTCACCCCCCCCTCCCCCACCTTTAGGCTAACGGTCAGAATGATGAGAAAGAATACGACAGACGGCACAGGTGCGACAGCACAGCCAGTACAAAAAGTGACACAACGCCACAAAGGGCAGACGAGACACGAGAACAATGTGTGTCATTGTGTAGCAGTGGGGCGCCGTGGTGGCTATGAGATGTTAACGACCTGGGTTCGATCTCGACCCTGAGTCTGCGCGTCTCTCTCTCTCTGTGGTCGCGTGGACTTTTCTCCGGGTCCTCCGCTTTATCCGTCCGCATTTGGAAACATGTGCTCAGGGTATATGGCCGCGATACATTTTCACGCGATAAGCCACTTCGTTGAGCTATCATTAGTGGCCAGGTCGCTTCTGAAAAGGAGCTACATAGCTCAGTGGGGCCTTGCCTGGTAAAACAAAAAAAAGTTTTTTTTTTTAATTCGTCAAATGAGACCACAAAGCCGTCCGTCACAATTCTTGTATCATCATAATAATAATACACATGCAGTGCCATTGTGAGGGTCACTGTTTACAAACGAGGCCCACGAACAGGCAAACAAAAACAAACTGCTGGAGCAATGCAACGCTTTTCCAACGCATGTGTTTTGCCCTCGGGAAGTATTCAATCGGCGCACAATTAAATACTTTCCGAAGGAAGCGCGACAGGGCCAGGAAGCAGCGCGTCTGCAGGTCGCGATGGGACCAGCGGGGCTCGGCCAGTGGCTCTGCGTGTTGGCGCCGGAATGCCGAGATGGGGCCTCTCAAGCCCCCGGTGTTTTGCCTCCAGATTTTGGGCCATGCATCCTGTACGTGTGCACGTTGGGCTTCTTTCGCGCCGCACGTAGCCAACCGTGCTTATCGAAGGCGCGTTGACAGATGAGTCTCGTTTTCTCGAGGGTGGGTCCCTAATCCTTACCCTTCCCTCATTAAGAAACGGAGCTAATGCATAAAAACCCCTGTCCACTGTAGTTGTAAAGCGTTGAAAGAAATCCCGATCTTCAAAAAGATTTAAGAATAGGCTTTTTTCGAATCCTATTTAAGTTGAAATTCTTTCGCACCATACTTGGCCAACCGTGCTAACCGTGGAGTGTCGGCTCTCCCACAAATCTCGTCGATACCGACATCAACACCGCACACTCGGTGTCGTCGGCTCCTGTAGCTTCCAGCGCCGGTGAACGTCGCCCCGGGCCGACGTCCGACACGATGGCGCGACGACCTCGGGGCGGCGGGGGGGGAGGGCGCTGTATTAGTGACAAGGGGAGAGAGACAAACTCCAAATATACAGCAGGCATCAGGGTTGGGATTGAACCCACGACCTCCTGTACACAAGGCGAGGTCATTAACATTTCGCCACCTCGCTACACCGCGCTTGAATGCCACGTGGGAGATGCGCGCCGCACCTTCCACAAGCGCAAGATGAAAGAATCGCCGAACTGCCACGGCGGTGAAGTCAAAACCATGAAACGCATCGGCGACGAAGACGCCGTCCGTGGTGCAAAGCATCCCGGGCGGTGTCGCTGCGATCCGCGCGGCGCCTGCTGCTGCCTCCCCCCTGGATTGGTCGAACAAAAACTAGGCGGCTTTCTCCCTCCTGCCGTACGAAAGAAGAAGGAGATCGTGACAAAATCATCGCCTCCATCGTTGGGACGCGAGAGGGCGAGGGGGGGGGGCGGTGGTGGTGAACAGATTGGACGGAGCCTGCGAGGTGTGGATTTTTGACAGCCCTGCTCGTTCTTAAAATGCACTCTGAAGGCTCGGACGAATCGTTACCGTTGCGCATTCGCATTCCTTGACGTGCGCGCGAGCTCGGCGCTCTAAATCCGATGCCGCTAAGTAGCTGCTTGGCTGCGCGCCACTAACGGGTGCATTATTTATTTCCACGAAGGTGGGGTTGGGCCGGCGGGGAACATCTGTGTTGTCAGTACAGTAATGCGCTATGGAGGACAAGGCCCTTGCATAATTCCTCGAGGAAAAAAAGTAAAACTGATGATGTGTTCGTAAAGATTCGTACGTAACAATAATAATGGCGCCATCTGTTCAGCCCAGGAAAAGCCCCACGCGGTTATTGCAAGAGTCTCATTTTTTTAGGAGAGTCCGGCTCGATTGTGATGATCGGGACCGGCGCCACGGAGAACCCCCCCCGGGAAAACCCACCACGCATACGAGGAGGTTGCCGCTCAGCACCGCCATCTCCCGGCCCACGCCTCGCTGAACCCCCCACGCCTGCAACTTCTGGCGAGACCTCGTGGTCGCCCATCCAAGCAGCGGCCAGGCTCAATCCCAGCTTGGCACTTCCGAGATCCTACGCGATCCGGCGGATGGAGGGTGATTTTGGCCCGTTCCTGCCCTCGCATCCACCAGCGTAGGACGGGGAGGAGGAAGGATGGTGGCTAGTGGTTGTCTCGAAGAGAAACCCGCGGCTAACGGTTCACTGCTGCGTGCGTTCCTTGATGGCTTATCGCAGCTGCGTTAATTCACGCCCCGCGTCAGGGAGGGCTGTGGGGGCTCTGCTGTTAAACAGGGACCCCCCCCCCCCGTCTCCCCCAGCGTGTGTCTCACGCACACTCGGCGAGCCCCTTGTGTGGTTTGTCCATCACCTGCACTCTGGGGGTGGAGAAATTAATCGGGCCGGGTCACATCGATTCCTCGGCTCGCGACATGCACGTCGAATTGCAAGCGTGAGAATCGATGTTTTTTTCGTTGTATAAACGTGCACCCGTGTTGTTTTTAAATAACGACACTCTCATTGTATGTAGTGTCATTCGTGCGAGTAGCATTCCATAATGGCTGTACGTTAATTATATACGAGGATCAAATCCCGTATAAAGCCTCTTCCAAGTAATTGAAAACCCCACAACCAAGCAAAATCTAAAATGAATAAACTTGACGGTGAAATGGCACTCAAAAGCAAAAAGCACGAACAAAGCAAGCAATCGCACCCCTCCGGTTAGCACGGTTGGCTACGTACGGTGCGAACGACGTTCACCATACTTACCTTCGAGCCTTCATCAACGGTGAATTCCGTAACGCCTCCCAGACCACAATCCCACCAACTTCCCAACCGAGCCAGGCAACCGTCACGTGAAGGGGCCGTGGTGGAGGGCCAACAAGCTACGGCTAATTTGTATCAATCGTTCCAGTCTATATAAATTGGGTTCTTGGCATCCTTGCGGCAACAAGAGGCGCCATGTCCATCCGCTTGCAAGGTTTGGCAGAATAAATTGATTGTTCAACCGGGACATTAAATTCCAGTTGCTAGGGTGGGGAAAGGGTCGTTCCAAGTGTTTTATTTTTATTATTTTATTGTTTCCCTTCTACGTGACTTTACCGAAAGAACCAAGAAGATGAATCCCTGCAGTCACGAAAGCTTTAAATGGAAATGATTAAGAATTCTTAATCCATTTTAGTTTAAGCCGGAGAGAGCCTCACTTTTTTTTTGTTACCGCTGCCAGCACTACTCACTCTTGCTGTTCCCCTGAACTCCGCTCGTCGATAATGAGTCCTCGACGCGCGTTGATGTTGCGTTCAACCAAACGGAGCGGTTCATCTCGATCTACCTGCGTTTTAAGCAGCACCGCACTGCAGGTCACAGCACCACACTCGCCCACTCGCTCACCGCACTGCAGGTCACAACACCAACACCACACTCGCCCACTCGCTCACCACACTGCAGGTCACAGCACCACACTCGCCCACTCGCTCACCACACTGCAGGTCACAACGCCAACACCGCACTCGCCCACTCGCTCACCACACTGCAGGTCACAACACCAACACCGCACTCGCCCACTCGCTCACCACACTGCAGGTCACAACATCAACACCACACTCGCCCACTCGCTCACCACACTGCAGGTCACAACACCAACACCGCACTCGCCCACTCGCTCACCACACTGCAGGTCACAACACCAACACCACACTCGCCCACTCGCTCACCGCACTGCAGGTCACAACACCAACACCGCACTCGCCCACTCGCTCACCACACTGCAGGTCACAACACATCCCCGTCTGCCTCTACCCTCTCCACTGCTCCACCAATTTGTTGGTGATATTTCCTCAAATTATTTTCCAGTTGGTGGCCCAAAGAGGACATACTGTGGCCACACGTGCAGCTCTTTGGAGCCGGCGGTCTGCACGAGGCAGAAAGCTCTTATACATGCGATGCCCCCCCCCCCCTCTCTCTCTGCGTTGTTAAATCTACTCTGCACGTCGTGTGCAGGCCACGTTTGTTCGCAAGCACAAATACGCACGTTGCCATCGTTTGTATCAAGTGACGATACAAAGACCCCCCATATAGCCTTAACAGACTATTGGGGAAAGTGCTGTTAGCGAGCATCCTCTTCCCGACCGAGCGTTGACCGCCGAGCGGGTGATGATGCGCTTGTGCCGTGCCGTGCCTTGCAGGTATTGGTGCTGGGTAACAAGAGAGATCTCGCCAATGCCCTGGACGAGAAGGAGCTCATTGAGAAAATGTGAGTGGGCAGCGCGACCTCTGACCCCTCCCCCCGCACACACACACACACACCTCACTTGGCACGGCAGCGATCCGTCGAGCGGCCGCTTGGCGAGCGAATCGCTGCGCCCGTACGGTGGGAGGTGGGGGGGGCGAGGCGCGGGGGCGTAACTGTTAAACGTGCAACGTCGGGCCAACGTTGGACCGATGGTGCCATTTGCGTGCCACCGGGTTTTGGACAACAACAACAACAAAATCGCCAAACTTTCCCTGCCACGTCACTCACCGTCCCCCCCCCGCCCCATCTCTCGCCATCCCCTTCCGTGCACGCCGCAGGAATCTGTCGGCCATTCAGGACCGGGAAATCTGCTGCTACTCCATCTCCTGCAAAGAGAAGGACAACATTGGTGAGTTGTGTCGCCTGGAAGGTTTGACGTAGGCCGACGGACGAGGTCCTTCTCCTTCCTCGGCTGCGTGCTCGCTCGCTGGAGTTGCCGCCCCTCGATTTGCGTCGCTGCCCAGGGAGCGACGTCCCTTGTCACTAGAGCAATGAAGTGTTCGTCTTTGTAAGGCCCACAGGCCACTGGAGGCCCCTGGTGGCCTTTAGTGTGGCCCATTCGTGCGACCCCCCACCCCCGACAATATACAAAGAGTGAAAACGCTACCCCGTCATCGTGCTGTTAAACCCCCGATGGTTTCAAATTTGTGGTGGCCCTCGCACTAGTGATGTCTTATTGGCGAAAGTGCCCCACCCCCGTCCCTCCCCCTCCCCCGCTCTGAAAACTGGTGAAGAAAACTGCTCTAGAAGGGACACGCTGGCCGGGTGGTTCAGAAGTCGCAAGGCCACCGCCTGGCATGGAACTCGGCGGTGCCGGCTCAGTGCTTTGACCTCTGGCATCTGAGTGACTCGGCCACCCCCTGCAGGAGGGGGGTGGGAGGGAGCGGGGGGGGGGGTGGGGGGCGCTTGGCTGCTCCTCAGGACTTGGCACGGTTCCGTTCGTCAGAGCCGAGCCGACGAGTCACTTTGATTTCGGCTGCCGTGCGGCGGTAACGTGAGCCCCCCCCTCCCACGAGTTTCCGACACGCCCCGTGCCATGCGGCTGTCTGCGCTGCCTGCCCGCTCCCGTTGCCACGTTTATTATCGCGCTAATTGGAGTGGGCGCGTGAAATATACATGTGACCTGCAACTGAGTCTGAGTTAACTTTTTTTCGGTGGGGAGGGGGCGGGCGAGTGGAAGGGACGGCTGGGGTTGGTAAATATTTACACGGCTACTTTGGAGACTGGATTGTGATCCGACCGAGAGTTATTTTTCGTCGGGTTTAGAGATTTGAAAAGATGACGATGACTGCCGTCGCCAGCCGGGTTGCAGAGATGATGTGAGGATACTCCGATGGAGGGTCCGTTATAATCCTACCGGCCGTTTGGCAAATTATCGTGATATATAGGCTTATCGTGGCTCATGCAATGCCACTAAAAAAATATTTCACGAAATAACAAAAGGCCGATGATTAAAGTGGTAAATAAATGGCTGTTACCTGCTAAATGAGTGCTCTGCTAAATATTTTCCTGGGAGGAGGAGGAGGGGGGCAAGGGTACGGGTGGGGGGGATGTTGGGGGGGGGATGTTGGTGGGGGGGCGGCCCATTTTATTTAATTTAATTCCTTACACCAGGGCCCGTGCCAACGCCGCTGTGCCACTGCATGGAAAACTCGAGTCTTTTGTGCGCTTCCTGGGAAGAGCGCCCACTCCTCCGCCAGCACTCGCCCGCCCCAGTTTGCACCGAGAGTCGTGTTTGCGACGAGAACGATCGCGTCGCGCCGGGCGCGCTCAACGTTCGCAACTCCCGGGGCCCAGTGAGTGTGGGAGCGGTGGCGCTACGGTTAGCGCGCTTGCGCTACGAAACCCGGCGACCCGAATTCGATTCCTGCTCACGGTCAACACCGGTGACGATTAACTGAGCCAGACCGCTAGGTCGATTAAGCCTCAAACGAGCGCCCGGTGTAGCGGTGTGTAAACATCACCACTCGGGAGACAAAGGCGGCCGGGCGTGGTGTTGGCCACCGCACTCCCCTCGTGCGCCGTGTCAGCCTTCACAGGTGCTGCTCGCTCGCAGCACTTGCCCTAACATTCTGTTGAAGGCTACACGGGTGATTTTTGTCTTTGTGGTTCACACAGCCAGTATTTAATTCCAGCAGGAAGGGTCTAGAACGCTGGCCTAAGTCTCAGGTATTTAAGACCGGTCTCAGGTTTAGGAATGGACCCCGTGTTCGTGCTGTATTCCTCTTCCTCATCTCTGCGCTTAGAGCTCAGGAGCTCCAGTGCCGAGATTGGGACACAATGCCTTTTTTGTTGTTGATGGGCGCTCAAGCACACGCCCTGCAACGATCCCAACCCACGGCGCTCTTCGATCCGGCAGTCAGCGGTGGCCTCTCGGGTTTTTTTTTCCTCCCTTCCTTCTCTCTAGAGTACGTAGTTAAAATTTAATCAAGGCAGCAACTCCGTGTAGCAGCCCCACTACTGCCGTATGGATTTTCATTTTGCCTGCGTGTGCTCTTCCGCGCGTCGCGCCGGGTCCACCGCCCGCCCCCGCGCCCGCCCGCGCCCGCTCATTTGTTGCAAAAATGTGAAGGAGCAGCCCAGCAATGGCTCGCTCACGCCGCTGCTGTTGGCGGAAGGGCCTCCACTCAAGGGAGCTCGAGGGAATCCCGGCAGACGTCGAGCCGCCCAAAAGCCTCTCGGGAGGTGGGATTGGGGGAAGGGGGAGGAGGTGGGGGGAGGGTGCGCAGGCTGCGGCATGGATACCGTGCAGGGGAAATTCCGATCATGAATTGCGACAATGCATTGAGTGGCCCCGGGGCAAATTGTTGCAAGCCCACTAACTGGGTTCTTTAAACCTGCTTAGCTTCGGAGATCCGGTGAGATTGTGAAACTACTGGACATCTGTGAAAATGAGCTTCATAGCCCATCGGATTCCTCCAGTGTAAATAGATATTCTGATACAGAAATAATCGTGATTTTAGTTGGGAGCAGGGATGGGGGTGTGTATGGGTTGGTAGGTGGAGGGTGGGGAGGGGGAAGGAGGGTTGTTTAGGCGGGTGGTGGTGGTGGTGGCGGTGGCGAGATCGTTACGCGAGGGGTTAAAGCAGGGCGTTGTTGGCGGCGCACGTAACGCGAGCGTGAACGATGGCCGCCCTGAGACTTCTCCGGCGTCTCTGTAACGTAGCGGGCGCCCTTTGTCTTGTCGGAGGAGCTGCGTTGGAAGGGCGCGGGGGGAACGTTTAAGAGCTCGGACGGTGAATGGACATCGGATGGATGGCCGTGATAAGAATTTAAATCGGACGCTAGAGAGCCCGAGAGGATTTCGCTGCACCGGCGGCCATTTTCGTTGTCGTCGTTGTCGATCCGCTGCTGGATGAGGGACCCCACCATGCCGTGGGGGCGCGGTGGCTTTGACCGTACTTCACCACGTTGGTCGGTGCGGGCTGGTGAAGGCGGGGAGCACAGAAGTACAGCAAGCACAGCGATCGTTTTTGGTACGCTGCCCTCCCTGCAGCCGAGCAGCCTATAGTACCTGTTGTGCACGATGGTCGCTTCTCGAAGGGCTGCCCAAGTTAAATCCGAGATCCGATGAGGCTGGGTGCATTCTGGGTCATTCTGGTTTTGTATTTCAATGATATCTCTTTTTTGTTACTTTAAATATATTTTACTTGGATAATACCTTGAGATGGAATATCCCGTTTGCAAGGTATCCTGGGTGCCATAAACATTGTATTTTCACAACATATACACACTACAGGATTCCCTCTATTCACAAGGGATATGTTCCGGAGATGCTCATGAATTTCGAGGATAATGATATTTGAATTAATTACCTTAAATCAACACATAAATAAGCTATTAAATACATTAAAATTATCATATTTTTTTCAATTGATTATAATAGGCATTAACTAAATAAAAATAAATATTAAAGTATTAAGTACTATCTCATGGGACCTCCTTTGCCAGTACCAAAATATGAGAATAGGTTTTCCCCTTTTTTCTGGCAACAAAACAGGTGTTAAAATGTTAAAACACGAAACTGAAACCTTTTACAAGGAATCATGTCTGCATTAACCACAATACTTGTGGTCAGAATGCAAACAAAAAACATACTTTGATAACATATGCATTGTCTTTGAAACTGATTGGTCCACACCAGAGACAGCTTTCTTTTGAGCCTCGTCTCAAAACGGTGTTAGACCAGAGGACTCCAAAAGGGGAAAACCTCTTCTCATATTAAGTACTCGTTTATAAATGAACTTGCCTTAAATTATGACGATGCTTTGCATCATCACTTTATCTCATCAATTTATTTCTCTCTCGATGCAGTCGTTTTTGACATGCGTTTTTTCTGGATTTTGTTGTTGTTATTCTGTCTCTCACTGTTCAAATAAACCTACCATTAAAATTATAGACTGATCATTTCTTTGTCAGTGGGCAAACGTAAAAGATCAGCAGGGGATCAAATACTTTTTTCCCTCACTGTAGGTGCTCGTTAACAGCACTTGCCGCAACAGTCTGTTACAGGCTACACGGGGGATCTTTGTCTTTGGTGACGGCGCGTTGTAGCGTGTTCGTGCGCGTGAGCTCTCGTTATCAGCTCGTTCTCAAATCGGCACGGGACCCCCCCCTCCCTCACCCCGTACCTGCATCGAGCGTTCTTCGAGGCATTAACGGCAATAATTGGCCAATTCCACTGACGCTGCAATGCAACGCGTACACGGCGTCTAAATACGACGCTGTAGGGAAACAAGCGGGCACATTCATACCATGGCGGTGCAGGAGGGGAAGGTAGGCAGTCGGTCATGGGGTCGGGGAGAAAAAGGAGGTAGTTTAACGCGTAGGCTTTCGCGAACAATATTATACGTAGTAAAGGTTTTTGGGTTAGATCGCTGTAAGTGTAAATGTATAAATGTTGTGGATTTACTCTCCAACACACAGATGGGCTGAGGTAGTAACTAATTGCCACGTTGTTTACGTGACAAACCTTACTGGCTGTGTCGGGTGGTGGAGGGTTACAACACATTTATAATAATAATAGGGTTTTTCCCCTTTTTTCTGGCAACAAAACTGAAACCTTTTTACAAGGATTCATGTCTGCATTAACCACAATACCTGCAGTCAAAATGCAAACAAAAAACATACTATGATAATCTATGCATTGTCCTTGAAACTGATTGGTCCACACCAAGGGACGGCTTTCTTTTGAGCCTCGACCCAATTGGTGCTCGACCACATGACGCCAATCAGTTTCAAGGACAATGCGTATATTATCATAGGGGAAAAACCTTATTATTACATTTTGGTACTGGCAAAGGAGGTCTAATGAAACACATTTATACTTATGCAATCTAACCCAAAAACTTTTTTTACGAAAAAGGAAGTAGTTGAAATTTCAAAAACTAATTTGTATTTTACCAAGCAAGGCCCACTGCGCTACCTAGCTCTTTTTCAGAAGCGACCTGGCCACAATTGATAGTTCAACGAAGTGGGTATTGGAAAATGAATAGCAGCCAAATACTCTAAACGCACGTCTCTAAATGTGGAGCGAAAAACTGGAGGACCTGGAGAAAAATTCCACGCTACCACGGGGAGCGAGACGCAATTTCCAAATCAACAGACGTTGGGGTCGGGGTCGAACCCACGACCTCCTGCATACCAGGCGAGGCAGTTAACATCTCCTAGCCACCGTGACGCTCTCTCGCCACCAAAATATACAGTTGATCCTGGACTTGAACAGGCACAGGAAATCGATAGCACGGATGGCTGGGTGAAGGAGGTTAGAGACTTTGGTGGTGGTTGCAGCAGACACATCGGACAGCATCGGTACTTGGGGTGGCTCGGTGGTGCGGGGCGATGCACGGGGGGAGGGGGTGGGGGCGATACACGATGTCCGCACCTCCGATTAGCACGGTTGGGTACGTACGGTTCCATAGTTAGTTCCATAGTTTCATTTATTAGGTATAGCCCTGTGAGCCATTCGGCTCTTGAATCGGGTGCAACCGCAACAAACAAAAACATGAACAATAAAACATCTTAAAGTGACTTTGTGTGACTGTGCAAACAGAAAATCCAGGAAAAAAACATCAAAATATTCCTGAAATAGCACCGTACACCAACACTGTGTGCAAAAATCCCAGTGGGATGCAAGTCAAACAACAACAACAACCACAACCACAAGACAACTAAGATTAAGGCCATCAGTCTAACTCCGTACTACAATAAAGAAAAACATGGCCAAAACCAAAAAAAACGTTTTCAAAATCACCAAAATAAAATCCATAAATGCAATGTAACAGTGATCATAGGGACTGTGACCGAATTTTTTTACAATAAACTACGTAAATAAATTATAACACCAAAATCTAGAGCCATATTTTAGGCCACTGAATTGCAGTGGCAGCTAAGGGTTGTACAACTCCTCTAGAGCAGTTTTGAGTGAAGATCTCGAAAGAACGTTCGAGACACACACGTGTACGTACGTGCATCGCGGACACGGTCTGGAGTATCGGCCCGTCCCTTCCTCGCATGGTGCGGCACTTGGCCAGAATGCCAACGCTGTGCACACTCTTGGTAAAAAAAAAAATTCTTTTCACACCGCCTGGCGTTCCGAGTCGTGCCCGTCGTTACTCACGGAGCCCCACTCTTGGGAGTTTACGGGGTTTTTGCGGCAACTTTTCCTTCGCGTGAACACGCGAGCGGTGGCGTAGGAAGAGGGTGCGGGGGGAGGTGGTGCTGTTGCTACGTTTTTTTAAGCTGCTTGCTTGCTGCTGCTGCTGCCACCGAGGTGGATTTTCCTTGCAGTCACGAAAACTTCAAATCTAAATTGGATTTTCCTTGTCAAATTGTTTTTGGTATTCAACGTTGCATGTTTATAAAGTTTCCTTTTACCCCCCCCACCACCTCCCTGGGGTCACCCATGACAAAAACAAAGTTTTTAGCTCAACGGGCCCGAGCGTGGGCGAGCAAAAAAAAATAAACTATAAACTAAAATGGGACGCGCAAACGCGGGGAGCAGCATTAAACATTGACGAGGCGGTGCCACAGCTGCAGGCCCCCATGCAGAATTGTCCCCCAACTGCTGTTGCTTCACTCAATTTTAATAAGCTCCTGCTCATGCGTGTGCGGGGATTGTTCTCTACCCGGTGCCATGGTTTTTTTCCACTCGATTCTTCTCGCCTTCTTTGGAGGGGGGGGGGGATTGTGGGGGATTGTGGGGGGATTTGGAGGGGTGGAGGAAGGGTGGTGCACGATGACTTTCATAAGAGAGTTGAAGCGACGCGATCGAAGCGTGGGCGACAAGTTGCGCCGCTGTTGTTGGGAAGTGCGCGATCGAAAATCGGCCACATCGACCATAGCGTTGGTCAAAACATGGCAAGAATAAGATGTGGAGCGAGGTACAGTAAAACCTTGGATTGCGAGCGTAATTCGTTCCGGAAACGTGTTTGTAATCCAAAGCACTCGTATATCAAAGCACAACCTATATCAGTTGTGATCACGTGACGCTCGGCAGTACAAAACGTGTCCGTACTACTCGTATTGCAAGACCTCGCTCGTTTATCAAATTAATATTTATTAAAATTTTTTGCTGGTCTTGCAAAACACTCGCAGACCGAGTTACTCGCAATCTAAGGTTTTACTGTACAATGATTGCCTGGCGGCCCTTTGATTGGTGGAGACCCACTGCCGGTTTAGTTGTTTCCTCCTACATTAACATAAGCTGCCCCGCCCATGCAGCTGACACACTTGGGCTACATTAACATAAGATGCCCCGCCCATGCTGCTGACACACTTGGGCTACATTAACATAAGCTACCCCGCCCATGCTGGTGACACACTTGGGCTACGCCCATCTCTAAACCTTTATAAACAGTTTGCCTTTAGAGGCTAACCCCCATTTTCCTGATGACGACCGCTTGTGTTGCGATCGAAACGTCGTGGTTTTTTGTTTTTATTTTATTTGTATTATTTGTATTCACTTTATTTATTATTATTTTCTTCTATCTACGTGACTTTACCGAAAGAAGCAAGGAATATGAATTCCTGCAGTCACGAAAGTTTTAAGTCAAAATTTAAGAAGAAGATGAAGAAGAGCAGCGCTAATATCGGCTCGCCACCGAGGCACGCGCTCACCTCCCCTCGTCGTCGTGACGTCATTGCTCGTGACGTCACGAGCTACGCGCCATGTGACGTAATGTTGCCATTGGTAATTCAACGCTACCGAGGACAAACACCGAGCACCGCACGTAGGCGTGATCTTTCTCCCTTGTCTCTCCCCCCCTCTCCCGTTGGCATCGTTCGCGTCGCCAGACATCACCCTGCAGTGGCTGATCCAACACTCGCGGAGCCGAAGGAGCTAAGCTGGCTCGGGCTGGCTCTGATTCAGCACCCCGCAACCACGTCGACCACCGCCTCCACCGCCACGTCCACCGCCTCCACCGCCACGCCAATCGCCGCCAGCACCGCCACGTACAACCCCTCGCCGGCCGTGACGCACGCACGCACGCACACGCACGCACGCACGAACGCGCGCGCGTGTGCTCTCTTACACACACTCAAATGGACACGCATGTACGCACTTGCATAAATACACACGCTCACACGTACGCATGAACACACGCAATCGCACACAAACACATGCACTCGTACGCACAAAGGCACGCAACACGCGCACGCTCATTGCACTCGCACGAGTGTATGCGCACATACACTCGCACATTCACACACGCGCTCCCTCGCACATAGGCGCGCACATGCACACTCGCATGCACGCACACACACCACACTCTTATGCCCAGCTGTCGAATTGGAGACATAGACTTTTGGGGCCCCTATCGCTTGTCAAATCACTGACTTTTTAAACTCGTCGCATGTGGGGGGTAACAGGTCAATGCCCACACTTTAACCCACCATGCGCACCTCGTGCAAAAAGGGGCACAGCCGATTATGAATGCGCAGACCTCCACAGTCTCAGAGAATCAACTGTTTGGCATGTGGTTACCGAACAGGGGGCTCTTAATTCGTCCACAGAATATTCTAGCACGGCCGCCCACATTTATATGGCGATGCACATTGTGTTGAAATGTATTTTTTTTGTCCTCTATCGATCATCTTCCCATGATCGCGGCCAGCCAGCTCCTGCAACTGCTTTGCAGTCAGGGTTGGGTTGGGACACCGAGCAACCGGGCACCTGCCCAGTAACCTACTCCTTGAGTTGGCCCAACTTGGACCTACTCCTTGAATTGGGCCGACATGAATCTATTTGTGGAGTTGGGCCAACTTGCACCTACTCCTTGAGTTGCGCCACCTTTAATCTACTCCTTGGGTTGGGCTAACTTGAATCTACTCCTTCAGTTGGGCCAACTTGAACCTACTCCTTGGGTTGGGCTAACTTGAACCTACTCCTTGAGTTGGGCCAACTTAAACCTACTTTTTGAGTTGTGCCAACTTGAACCTACTCCTTGTGTTGGGCTAACTTGAATCTACTCCTTGAGTTGGGCCGACATGAACCTACTCCTTGAGTTGGGCCAACTTGAACATAATCCTTGAGTTGGGCCAACTTGAACCTATTTGTGGAGTTGGGCCAACTTGAACCTATTTGTGGAGTTGGGCCAACGTGATTCAGATGGTAGCGGTGGCGTAACTGTAGAGAAACTTTCACGGGGCCCACTAACCAGGAGTGCCCAGACACACGGGTCCCAAGAGTAGGGGACATCGGACAGCAGGTAGGGCCCACTTTACTCCTTGCAGCAGGACCCTTGCTGTGACCACACTATGCTGCTACATTGTCGTCTCCTTTCATACGGCTGATGTAGATGCAGAGCAAAACAGCTCCAATTTCACATTGTGGTGGCCAAGCCAGACAACCGCGTCAGTAGCAGCGGAGTGTTTCGCTGTCGATGTCTCCTTCTTCTTTGTGAATCGGGCATTGCATCGTTATACGCTGTACAGACTGTTCTGGATGACCACAGTCGCACAATGGAGATTTTTGTAAAGTTTCCATTTGTGTGCATCAGGTATCTGCATCTGCTGCCATAGTTTTCAGCGGATGTGGTTCAGGGTGGACCATAAAAGCACATGGTCCAACCTAAACTATGCTCCTAACTTACGCAGACACCCGCATGCAGACTCGTCGACTCGAACGGAGACTCCTAGACTTACACGGAGACCCATAGTCTCGCGTAGATGTACATATAGACCCACGGACCACCGCCGTACACTTACCTTGGAGACCCTACATCAGTCGAGTAGCCGTCAAGTGTGCAGACGGTGTAAATGCACCGGGGATCTGTAGGGGATAGGAGGGCGTGGGATAATTAATTCCATGCCAACCGCACGACACCGCTGGATGGGAATGGGATTGCGTTGGGACCCAGTGGTGTGCGTGTCGTGACCGGAGTCTGTGGCCGGCGTGAGCAGCAGAATATTTACCCTGTAGTCGCCAGATTTGTCAACAACTTTATGAAAAAAAGACGACGCTCTCCAAATGACAACAGCAACAACAACAAATCAAGTCGAACAGCAACAACAATATAAATCGAAGCGTTAAAAGTGTTCTCGTTGCATTTTACAAGGTGGGTAGGGAATGGGTTAACGGCGATGGGACGTGAATTACAACTCGGTGGGGGGTATTTTTTGCAGTGACGGTGGTTAAGTTTTAATCGAACTTTTTAATGGTTTTTAGCCGTTTTGTTATCGTTGGTGTGGCCATCGTTTCGCTAAGTGCTGTCGTCATCTCGGGTTGTGACATTTCTTGTTTTTTAAAGAAAAAAATAATGGATCACTTCTTTAATTTGTTTGTCTTTAGGGCCGTTTTACGCGAAGGTAATTTTTTTCCGTCGCACACTCCTCTGTGCTGTAGTCGAACGGTGGTGTAAAGGTGCGGCCATTGCTTTGCTCAACGCCGTGACCGGCGGAACGGCCTCTGCAATCGAGGGGGGGAGCTCTAAGGAGCCCCCACCCCCCCACCCCCTTCCCCCCCCCCCCCTCCTCTCTAGAGAGTATTTTGGCTGACCCTTCAAGATGTCTTTGGAAGAGCTGGGAATTACCCACACTTTAACCCCCACCGTACACGACCTGCCAGTCCACTGTGGTGGTACCCATTTCTACTGCTGGGTGGACATATGTGGGGCGGCCTGGGGGTGGGGGGGGATTTTATGAACTTGCCCGTATCACTAGCCGTGCCCCGGCAGGTCAATTCGCCAACCTCTGGTTTGCAGATCCGGTGTACTAATAATAATAATAATTTACATTTATTTGTAAGGCGCCTTCCACTAATGTCTCAAGCCGCATTGTAAGAATAAGGTTAAGGAAAGGCCAAGAGAGAAGGAGAGCTACGTAGAATAAATGTGTTTTTAGACGCGACTTTAAAGTATCCACATTGTCGGTTGAATGAATTCCCAACGGTAGGGAATTCCACAACCAAGGCGCAGGCACAGCAAGCCACCCGCTCTCACCCCAGCAACACAGCCGGGTTCGCGGTACGCGCAGAAGGGCTGAGTGCAGATCTCAACGACCTTGAGGGGGTGCACGGATGGGTTAGCTCGTGAGTATATGGTGGTGCCAGCCCATGCAAGGCTTTAAAAACCAGTAGAAGGCTCTTAAATTCTACTCTCTTCAAGACCGGTAGCTCGTGTAATGATAAGAGAACTGGAGAAATGTGGTCATGTAATGGGGTTCAGGTGAGCACCTTAACTGAACAATTTGTAGTCTAAATTTTGATTTAAAGCTTTCGTGACTGCAGGGATTCATATTCTTGTTTCTTTCGGTAAAGTGACTACATGACTTTACCGAAGGAACCAAGAATATAATTTGTAGTCTACCAAGGACCTTTATTTGAAACACCAACCAGCGAGGCATTGCAGTAATCGATTCGCGAGAGGACAAGTGCATGGACCAACCTCTCTAACGATGCTGCGCAGTTCGAGCAATGTTGCTAAGGTGTAAAAACGAGGTTTTCACAAACTTATTAACGTGATGTTCGAAGGAAAAGGGACGCATCGAATATCACCCCAAGATTATTAATCTCACGCTTCGGGCAGACGTTCTGGCCATCAATAACTAGGCTGAAAAGTCCCAAGTTTTTTTTCAACTTTTGGGGAGAGCCGACTAAGAGGAGTTTGGTCTTATGTCCATTTAGCTGGAGAAAATTGTTCTGCATCCATGATTTTACAGTTGTTAAAGATGATGAAAGCAACGATGCTGCTGACGTAGAATCTGGTGTTAGCTGGAGGTAAACGTGGGTGTCGTCTGCATAGCAATGGTAGCGCAGCCCAAGAAATCGCAGCAGTGCTCCATGTAAATGCGAAACAGAATGGGACCAAGCACCACCGATTCTTGAGGAACCCCAGACTGCACTGAACTGACCGAGGACTTGAAGCCGGCCCATATTTACATACTGCAGGTAAGAGCGGAACCACTCCAGAGCAGAATCTGTAACCCCCATAATATTTTCAAGCCGTTCGATTAAAATCTCACGGTCGATTGTATCGAACGCTGCGCTCAGGCCGGTGCTGGAAGCAGCAGCCTCGGTGGTGAGACACAGCAGACTTGCCGCTCCCGGTAGATCCCCTCTGGCAACTCGACTTCCTCCTCGGCAAGGCGAAGCCTCACCTTGGACGACGAGGTTTCGTCGGATGAGCTCAGCAGGGGCAGTGATGTCATCGTCCTGCACGGTGTTTCGTTCGGTTTTTGCAACTGAGTTAGTCACCTTCCTCGCTGTCCTCCTCACTTTCACCGCGAGTGAGCCGACGGAGCTTGCGTGGCCTCGCGGACTCTAAATGTTGCAGTGCATCTTCAGAATCTGGGTCAAGCTCTGTCCGAGCGCTCTTATGGTTATCCCCGTCGTGTAGGCTGAGGCCAGCCTGTTCTCAGACCCCCCCCCCCCCAGGGATAGCAAGGCCGCCTCGGTGGGGGTTGTCTTCTTTGCGAAGTACACAGCTGCGGATGCTAGGGAGGGGTACAGGCTTGGGGTGAATTCCCTGGCCTCGGGTAGTCGGATGGCCTTGGCCTAGGGGTACCATTACCCTGCAAGCTTCTTGAGTTTCGCTGGGGCATTGAGGAAGGTTGGTATTTCCCTAACAATTTCAGGAATCAAGAGCGGGCCCCTGTCACACTCGGCTAAGGATGATTCCACCGCTGTAACAGCGGTCATCTGAACACCCATCGCGATGAGCTTGACTTTGTCGATCACAGCTCTTCCTGGCCCTGTGATCTTGAGATTAATCACTCCTTTCAGGAACTCGGAGCACCAGGCTTGTCCCCCCCCCCCCAGCCACCTCAACAAACTGAGACCCCTCCAGACTGGTGTATGGGGGTGTACGTCGCACTGGCATTGCAGGAAGACTTGAAAGCCTGGAACCTTCCGTCAGCGGGCCTAGGTATAGCCCTGTGAGCCATGCGGCTCTTAAGTCGGGTGCATTCGCAACAAACACACAGAGACCCATAGACTCTGAGTGCTTGTGGGAATGTTAAACAAAAACGGGACAACTTGTCGCGTGTTCCTGTCTACAAGTTTTTTGTGCATCGCTTTTAACAAACACAATGCACACACACACACACGTGTCGCAGACACCCCGTGTCACTGCCATGCTATTGAAGGGACGTGAAACCTCAAACATGAAAACTGTGATCACCGACGGCAATCAACGATAAACAACAACTAATAATAAACGAGCAGCTGACGACGTCCCCTCTCTACAATTCGGGAACCCCGCCGTGGGAACGGGGAACTTCCGGCTCTCACGGCCGCCAACGGGGACGGTGGAGCGGCCGCCTCCACCGTGGCCGCTTACTTGAGTCTTGAGCCCCTGGGCACGGCGGCCAGGATGTTGATCGCAGCATGGCACAGTCCAAGCCGGTGTTCCACGTCAACTGGTGCCTAGTGGGTATGGCTGGGACCATACCTCCCCGGGATCCATCTAAGCGGACCCTCAACCGTCGTTCCTGCGACCATGCCGGTTGAGATTACCTCTCTTTCCACCCGGACGGGTATATGCCGGCGGATGACCGGGATCACCGCGCAGAGGATTGCCAGGCATGTGGTAGCAGGGCTGTGTCTGGACCGGTTATCAGAGTCGAGCGGGAGCAGTGTCGGATCGACCGCTAGGGTCTCTGGAGGTATGGCCCATGGGTTCTCTGCTCCTGACAGCGCGAGTGAAGCGCCTTCCGTTCGGTGTTTGGGCTAACCATCTTTAGCGCATATATTTGTTAAAATAAACATTCTTATAACTACCGGAAGTAATGATCCAATGGCGTCCACAATAATTGTGATAACGATGGGCTCACGGAAGCATTAACGCCTCCATACGATGACGACACTCTTTTGATTTAAAGCAGTGATTAATATTCTTGGTTCTTTCGGTAAAGTCACGTTGAAGGGAAACAAAATAATAAAATATATATTTAAAACAATACAATTCTCACGACGTTTCGACTGCTTGTGTTGCAGTCGAAACGTCGTGATAATTTTATTGTTTCATATATATTTTATTATATTATTGTTTCCCTTCAACGTGACTTTACCGAAAGAACCAAGAATATGACGACACTCTTGTTCTGCCGCTGCGGTGGACGTAGAGACGATGTGAGATGCATTGTTTCCTTGAACCAAATCAGAGGTAACACGAAATTCCTCCACGCGTGCAACATGCGTGCGTAAAAAAATAGTAATGCACAACCCCCTTTGTAAATCCACTGCTAGATGAAAGCCTCCCTTGATGCGGCGGTGTTCGTGGGGGGGTTGTGAGGGCCGTGCTACACCATGCCCGTCAATATGGGTTGGTGAAGAGAGGGCCCAGGAATGGTTCGGGTATCTCAAATATTTCAGATATTTTGAGCGTAAGAATTTCTTTGTATTGATGAATCGCTTAATCGCTACGATCCTACTACTCGATACAACTGTTGTTCGTCTTTGAATCACAACCCCCTCCCCCTGAAAGCATGACATGCAATCAGCTGGCACACACGGTCTATTTAATTTAAATTATCTTTAATACCGGTTAGTGTTATTGCAGTTTTTTTTATGATTGTAAATGTCTAGAGTGAAATATGAGGGGACCATCTCAACATAAACGATTAAAAGCTGTAAATGCAAAACTGTCGTTAATGCCTCTCATGCCGTTTTAAACTTTTTGCATGTACGCCTTTCTGAGACCTCTTTCCTTCTCCCTGTGTTGCCGTATTCTCTGGATTATAAGGTGCTCTGGAAAGTAAGACGCAACCCAAAACCTGTCCCCGCAGTGTCAAAGTTATACAAAATCTCGTCGCACAATCATGCACGTATAACAAAACAAATAAGCAGAGGATGCGTCCTCTTCACATTATTCCGTCTCTCTACATTAAAAAAAACTAATTTATTCCTCTCACAACCCATAAGCGGCCGCCGCCACATTCTGTGTGCGTATTTTCATCAGCATTGTTTTAAAGACGAGCCAAAATCCGGAGCGGTTTCGGCACGCGGTGTCTCTTCGGCAGAGGGGTCAGGCTTGCTGGAATCGATGCCGGTGAGCTGCTGACCTCACCGGCCACACCTCCTCACTTGACGGAGAGTTCTCATCGTCATACCCACCCACGTGTTTCTTTAAAATACTGGAGGGGTGAAAAAAAGGTGCGTCCGATATAATCTGCAGAACACGGCACAAAGGGCTCCCGACTGCCTTCCCCGAACGTGTCCTGTCCGTCATAAAACTTCGTGGATAAACTGCTGTGCTAAAACGATAACCTTTTGCGATGTGCTGTTTACATCACGGAAGCTGCGCGCTTGAGTCTTTCCCCCCCCCCCCCCCCCCTCTTACGTTCGCCGCCCGTTACTGCGACGTCGGAGCTGCCAAAACAAATCCCGAGAGGAGGAGGAGGAGGCGGCGGCAGCTGGCGTGCCGCTCCGCGAGATGCCAATTATCTCGCTCGCTCGCCACGTCAGTCGTTTTCTCGTTGCCACGACGTTCTTTTTTGTTTGTATCGATTTGTTGTTTATCTCAAATGTTTCATGGTTCCCCCCCCCCCCCATCGTTTTTATTTTTGTTTGTTTTGTTATCGCTGGAACGTGACAAATAAAAAAGGCTTTTGACACCGAGATGCCCTCCCTGCCCAGGTGTGTGCGTGGACTCTTCCGGCTCTCACCGCTCGCTCGCTCCGTCGATGCTGAACCGCGACTGAACGTTGGACGCGATCGATCCGTAAGCGTTTTGGGATCCTGCTGAAGACCCGACCACACGACGTGTATATATTCACGTATGCACAGTATGTAACATTAGATCCTATAAATGTTCACATTTGGAAATAATGGAGTTCCGTTAATAAATGTATACACATAGAGGATGTACACAAGACGGCTGTCGCTGGTGTAGGCCAATCGGTGCATATATCAGAGCAAGTTTGCATGTCCACCACAAGCACCGTGTGTGGTTAATGCGGACTCGATTCCCTGCAAAGGGTATATCAATTTGGTGTTTGAACATCTCGGCACCACCTGTTTTACGTCCAGAAAGAGTAACACCCTATTCATATACAGGGGGCACTCCATCACCTGAAGACACACACAGTACACCAACTATCGCAGGTGCACACGGCGTTTTTTTTTTTATCCGGTATTGTATGCACTGCAGTTCGGTGTCCTTCGCCCGCACCTCCGATTGGCACAGCCGCGCTACGTTCAGTCCGCGAAAGAAGTTCAACGTTGACGCAGCGCGTTAGCGATCATCACCACGGTGGTGTGAACCACGTCTCCTCTCTAGCCTTCCTACAACGTCAAGGCTGGCGAACAACGGCGCTCTTCATATTGAGACGAAACGACACCAAAAACTGCACAATTTGTCCGACTGTTATGTTCGAGGCAGACTCGGTGCTCCGAGTGAAACAAAGGCGGTCCCGTTGTCACCCGTGCCATCGCGTGGCAGCTGAACGTGAAAAAAGTCGCGACTCTTGTCCAAGGACAGGTCTCTCGGTGGCCGATGGGTCGTGAGCCGTGCGAGTTTGCTGACTTGCTGCTGCTCATGGATGATGCGGTGACATTGCGGGTGGTTGAGTGATGGTGATGGTAACATTCTTGTTGGTGATAGACCAGCGATCTCCGAGGGGCAGTGTTCTTTCATTGCAAGGCCTGCGGGTCACTGGTGGCCCCTGGTGGCCTTTCGTGAGGCCCCTGATGTGCGCCCCCGCCCCCCGCCCCGACAATACACAAAATGTGAAAACACCCCCATCATCATCATCATCGTGCTGCTGTCAAAAAACCCCAAATGGTTTCAAACGGTGTGTCGGCTCTCTCACTGATGATGTCTTATCGGCGAATGTGGCCCCTAGTCTGAAAATCAGTGAAGAGCATCGTCTCAGGGTCTGGGTGAGAGTTACGATTCGGGTTTGGTAATGACCGAGGCGAGAGATGGACACAATGAACACGATGCACCGGAGACCGAGCGAAGGCGAGAAGAAACAGGGGAGGGTGGCGGAAGAGGTCGCAGCAGCAGCAGCAGCGAGGCAACATCGCAGAGTTTGGAGGCCACGACTGGACAAGGAACAGCAACAGTGCCGGATGAAGCTAGTGCGGGGCCTGTAGCATATGTTATAAAGGGGCCCTAAAAAAAACTAATATTAAATATTTATTGGGTCCTTCGGTAAAGCCACGTACAAAAAAGAATAAAAATATCACGACGTTTCGATCGCAACGCAAGCAATCGTCATCAGGTGAAAAAATAGCGAGACAGCTGCTGAGGCAGGATGTTTTAAAGGTTTGAGATGGGTGTAGCCCAAGGGTCATAAGCGAAGTGGGCGGGGCTAGTGATGAAATTTGCATGTTAATGTAAGATCGGTGAGCTGGGCTACCTCCACGACGATGAAGCTGCGGAGGCGGCCATTGTATTGTGGGCGTAGCCCAAGTGTCAGAACGGAGTGGGTGGGGCACAAGAGTCTAGGTCAGCAGTGGATATAGGATAGGATGCTCTTTTAAACCTTTATAAACAGTTGCATTCGAGGCTTACCCCCCTTTTCTCTCCGCCTGATGACGACCGCTCGTTTTGCGATCGAAACGTCGTCGTTATTTGTTTATTTTACTTGTATTAATTTGAACCTATATACGTGACTTTACCAAAGAATATGAATTCCTGCAGTCACGAAAGCTTTAAGTCAAGATTTAAATGTTTTGCTTGCATAGTAAAGTAATTGTATCTTTTCATTTGCTATACTATCCAGATAATACGACAAATCGCTAACCTTAAACACCCAGTCGTTCATAACAATTGAAGGCAGTTTGGTACTATAGTGATAGAGCAAGTGCAGAATCACCGAACCGTAATTGATAGCTTGAAAACATTTAGCGCGGGGCCCTTGAAAGTGCGCGGCCCGTAGCTACATTGTAGTAGTAGCTACATATGTAGTAGCTACATAAGTAGTAGCTACTACATATTTAGCTACTTGTGCTACGAGGATAATCCGGCACTGAACAGCAAAGGGAAGACATTGAATAATTACGCAGGATGCCGTTACCCTCTGTCGGTGGGAAGTTGCGGGTTGACAACAACGAACAGCAACACCGACCAAGAATACGAGAACATCCATTCATAATGTACACATCCGTAGATCATTGTACAGGGTGGCTTAAGTTATTTTAACATGCTCAAACTGACTTCCATTAACACAAATGCGTGCATGAATTCTCTTGAAATTAATTTAGGATTATTATTTATTTTACAAGATTACAGGTGGTGTAATCTTTGAACATTCGTCAATTATGTTTCGTCTCAATTATTTTCGGATTCTTGGTCGAGTTTTGTAGGCCAACGGATTTGAGGTGACCCCACAGGAAAAAAAGAGATATACAGTATATTAATTATGATAATAAATTAAATATTAACTTATAATAATACTTCGATTCAAATGTTTTAATGCCCGTTAAGATAAATAACATAACCCTGTGTGTCCTGGCTTTTGGGCCACCCTGTATATTTGTGGTCAGGTCACGAATGAGACAATGGGATAAGAGGAGAGAGAGAGAGAGTCACGAACGTTCGAGAGACATTGGAATAAAGACAGTTGGGGACACGCGGAGCAGAGAGAGATGAGGGTCGTAGAGTAACGGAGACGAAGATAAACGTACATAATAAAGATTGCTTGGGTTTAGTTCGCGTAAATATCTCGTTAAACCCGCCACCACCCGACACAGCCAATTGGTAAGGTTTGTCACGTATTAGTTACTAGTTCATCCCGCCAGTGTGGTGGAGAGTAAACCCCACAACTGTTATTAAAAGAGGACGACGTTTTGCTGGTAATTACATCCAGCATCATCTGGCGATGATGCCAGAATTAACTGTGTCGGGTGGTGGCGGGTTAACGACACATTTATATTTACGCGATCTATACCCAACAGACGCCCCCAACCCCCTTTACTATGAATAACATTGGTCGCGAAAGCTTACGTGTCAAACTGGAGATAAACTTCAGTGACCACGTTCACCTCGATTCACGCCAGCCCCCGCCACTCTTTAGCGTGAAACAATGCCACCGGTAAGCAAATAAGACGGTAAGCCAGATTTGACACGAAATCTGAATCGGGTTAATCCACTTCAACGGGTAGCACGTGCAAGTCCACCTACTTGCCCGGCTAATCACTTTATAGCAAGGCAGGCAACTCAGGTACTGTACCATCATTGTAGGAAATCCCGACTTTGCTTGGCCTGATGGATCTGCTGCTTGCACGTGGTTTGCACTGGGCGGCCTAAAACCTTGGTTTCGCAACACCACTTGCGGGTCAGATTCAGAATATTTAATTACGATGGAGGAATCCGATGAGCTATAAAGCTCTTTTTTCCCCACAGATGTCCAGTAAGGGGTGGGTAAGAAAGTTACACAACATCAACAGAGTATTTGCAATCCAAAGTCAGAGGTGCACAATGGGGGATCGTCCTGACAAAAGAAGACTTTGAGACTCGGTGAGTATCGGGTAAATAATGGGCATCATCATTTTCACACATGAAGTTTTCAAATATTCTTAGAATGTCGGTTTTACTTCTCATGGCGTCATGGTCAACGGCTAAGTTCCATCACGTGCTACTGGACGGGCGAAAGGGGGCTGATGGGGCTCTGGTAGGTGACGGGGAGTGCCTCTGTGACCCGCGTGTATATTCTGTACACGGTCTAGACATGGTGATATAATCACATCCTGGTCATTCACACCGTCTATGCTCTGTATAAACAAGCGCGGCGCCTGTGCTATGCTAGGTGCACTTTGAGGCCACGTGAAGTGTCGAAGGCCCGCTGGCAGGTCACGGAACAGACCCAGCAAGTGCCATGAAGTTGACTGATATGGCGGGCAGATGCACCAACTGTGCTCCACACTGTGCCAACTTTATGCGTTTTAACCGCCCGCCGCTCCGCTCGTTGTTGTGAGCGTCGCTCCTCTGCCCTCCGTTGTTGCTGGTGAGGGGGCGACTGCCTCCAACTGCCCAGTAGCAAAGCAGCGTCCTTCACGAGCCTCCTCCTCCTCCACAGAGGCCGATCCTGACACCGCTGGCAGCAGTCATTGGTAAGTGGAATCAGCTCTGCATCCTTCTGTACCGCATCAGTCGCCATCTCTTCTCCAGCCCGTGTTTTTGACATGTGTTGATTTTCTTTTGTTCTTTGTGCAGCAACTGCCAACGGGAGTATCACCGAATAACCTGTTCCGATCCATCGTAAGCAAACGTGGCAATACGAAAAGCAATTGCTCTTTACCCACCTAGAATGGGTGTGTAGGTGTAAGGATATCGTTTGTTACCGCTTCTTAAAAATGGGCAAACCGGTTAACATGCAGATGTTTCTCGTCACGTGGACACACCGAGTCTACGGCCCTCGACGAGTGAGGAGCAACGGGTAACTGAAACGTGAACGTGCGCTCAACATGTTTCATTTATTTAATTCGCTAGCGCGGTTAATCAACAAATCCCAGGATAATCCTCCCACAGATAATCAAGAATCAATGGTAACAATTATGAACGATATCAAAATCATCATCATCATCACATACCTGTCAACCCACACGGTTTACCCGTATTCTTGTACAGGGAAATTGAGTTTTCAGGTCCATACGGCGTACAGCCGTTTCAAAAAAACTAAACAA